TATATATATAAATGGTCCCTGTTTATACAGACATCAACTCCAGTAACTGACACTTGCCACCTATTTTTATGAAGCTAAGAGTGTTTTACCATGCTGCTCTCTCTTTTCCAGCATGCAGAGGAGCCCCAGCCCCCCAAAAGCTTAAAAAAAAAAACCACACACAACCCCAAATCAGCCCAAGTCAATTATGATCAAAGTTCAGGCTCTACAGTGAAGCCCTTTAAAGGGTTATATAAAATGACCTAATGTGAACTTCTTTTTGAATCGTTTCAAGATCCCCACCATCCATCAGGGCCAACCAAATTAGCAAACTCCTCCAAGGTCTGCTCCACAGACTGATTCTAGGTTTAGACTGAGCTAGATTATTTCAACAGGAAACAAAGGCCATCCTTCAGAACCTGTTTCCAGGCCTCCTCTCAATAGGAAGGCCCCTGCAAAGCAGGGGAGAATGACAAGAGAACTCAAGAGTTAAGAAGGCTCTGTTGCAGGAGTTTGCTAGCCACTTCTAGAGGCGTTAGCAAAGCTGACCGCTTATCCACCAAGTTCTTTGGGTGTCACCCTCCTCCATCTATAATCCCACCATTTCTACCACTTCCCTGAGATGCTCTCTTCATCACCTTTCTACCATGCCCTTGGAAAGTCTCTGCCGTTCTTCTGCTTTATGCCTTCTTTCACCAATGTCCACACTCTCCTTACCTGTCACTTGGGGAGCTTCTGGTAGATGAGAGGCACTCAGATGGATAATGTCTTTCATTTTTACTGCTCCTCCCATGGCCTGAAGAGTCTTACATTTCATCTTCTGATGGATAATCTTGCTACATTTTCTCTGTATCTTGCTGAAGGAGTCCAGATCTCTGCAGTGGTTTGTTTTAAGGAACTGAGGTTCATCATCGAGGAAGGAGCTATCAGAGAACCTTTTCTTCTTTTTCTTCTTCTTCCTGCTGATGTCTCTCTCTTCTTCACTGGATGACCATTTGACTTTTTGCTCTTCATACCATAGTTTGCTGCTGGATCTCTTGAACCTTGTCTTAGGCCTCTGTCCAGGGTGCAGAGAGGAGTCACAGCACTCTGTACTGGAGCAGAAGCTGCGCGTGCTGCATTTACCATCCTGATCACCACAGGCAACGTTCTGGACGCGTATCAACAGTTCCTTCGCCTTTTGCTGGTGGAGAGGCCATGTCTTGCAGCTGCCTTGGCAACCACCATTTCTTCGTTCTGATGGGTTCCGGGACTCATTAAGCGCCTCACTAAAATATTCAGAATCGCTGCTAATCTCTTCCAGCAAATCTTTCAGTTTATACATATGGCCAAACGACTTGGGGGATGACATCACCGTCATTTGAGTATTCTCTTCTTGTGATGTTTTATTGTGAGCAGTACTGTTACTTCCTGGGATGGGACTATGCAACCTGTCTGGCAGGGAGCCCTCGCTGGCCTCATCCAGCGAATCCTCCCATTCTCCTTGGTAACTTTCGCTATACTCTCGAGGATATGCCTGGTCCTCAGGCATGTTCTCTGCAGGTTCAGACCCTTCATCAATTACTTCCCAATTGTCATCATCATCCACTTGAGGGTTTTTTTCAGGGAGATCTGATCCTAAACTCCCTTCTGTCCAACATTCCTCATCTTTGCTCTTTAGGTTGATCTGGAAGCCATCTCCATAACAGGATACCACCCTCTGCCACCAAGACGTATCTGATGGGCTTTGTGCCCTTGGACATATTCGTGCATATCTGGGGGTTTGGTAGTAGTTCAGTAAATAATGTATGAATTCCTCTGTTTCATAAACCTTTTGCTTTTTACACTTGGCTGCATCAGAAGCATCTGCAAAGGACCCCAAATTTGGTCTCAGGTAATCCCACCTATCAGGCGATGACTCAATCGCTTTGCAGTCCTGAGTGACCGTGACCTGTAGCAAGCCACCAGCATGAAAGTGGTCTATATCATTCTCCGTTAAGTGGCTGGTGACTGCCCTAGCAACTGGTTCGTTCAAAACAGTTCTCACGAAGGGAGAAGGGGATGGAGGCAAGTCTGCAGCAATGAACTGCTCCTCTTCCCCTTCTTCTATAGGGGCTTTATCGAACAGGACCGAATGACATGCAGGCTGACTCTCATCCTCCAGTTCTTGGTGCTCAAGATAAGGCAAATCCGTCTCCTCCTTTAGCGCATCCTCTATTGGAGGTGTGGAGAAGCTCTTCTCCCGTTCGTTTTCAGGATCCAGCAGATGCACCCCTATTTGTCCAGGGGACAGCACAAAATTCTTCAAAAGAAACAGAAAGACACACGGGATTACTACGCAACTAAACAGCACCTAGGAAAGCAAAGAAAATTCAGCACAGTCTTACAATGAACGATCTCACATGTGAGTTTTTTGCTGCCTAACGCAGGAAAACAAAATGGTACACATCCACCCTGTTTACATGGAGAACATCTACATATTCTCAATTGCAACAATCACTGAGTTAGATCCAGTTACTCAAAGAAAATTTATAAAACATTAGCATTATTAGGAATTAGGTCAATTTCAATGGATCTCAACCCAATGAAATGGGAAAAAATGGTTTTATCTTGCATGTTTTAATACAGCTCTTATTCCTTCATCCTATTTCCAGTGGGAACAATACAATGCAATTCCACTTGGACTACGTATCTTAAATCAAACCTGTCTCTAATACTTTTAGCAAGATCCAAATTACAGTATCTGAGGAAACACGCTGATTATGAAGCATATTTAATTTATACATAAATCAAACAAACTTTTAAAAAAATTGAGCGTGCAACTTCTGATCCCCCCCAAAAACCTTGAATGTGGGTCCCAGTGCCTCTATAAAAGATGCTGATGAGTTGCAAGTTTTACAGTGATAAAGGAAAATAACAGTAGATCCATAGAAAGTAACCACATTAGCTGTATTAAACATTCTTGGAAATTGAGATACGGTTGAAACTTATGCTTGCTTTCCAGTATGCCATCTAATTAAAAAAGTATAAAGAAATAAAGGAGAGCATGAAGCCTGACCAGAAAGGTGGCATATTGGAACCAAGCCTTTTTAAAAAAAATATCATCACTGAGCACAGGATACGAAAGAGGCATTAACTCCAAACTCATCTTTCCAAGGACCTGATAATTTCTTCAGCTCTCTTTGATTCAGACCCCGCTTTCCTCAAGTGCCTAATTCTCACTGTCCATCAAAATAAAACACCCTAGATGAGAAAGATAGACAGTTGCTGCTTACTTGAACTGGTCAGCCCCACTAGATAGACCAGACCATGAATCAACTCCACAGGAAGGCTAAAACTACTTTTATTGCGATTGGCTACAATAACAGAATTGTGCAAGTCTAATTGAGCTGGGTCTCCCCTTTCTCATGGTTCAGTGATTTAGGGAGTTGTCTGTCTGAACCTCTTCTTCTGAACATTATCTGTATATTCTGGACTTAAAAATGCTTCAGCCCCTTTTGCCTAGACCAGTGTTTCTCAACCTTGGCAACATGCTGGCTGGGGAATTCTGGGAGTTGAAGTCCACACGTCTTAAAGTTGCCAAAGTTGAGGAACAATGCCTAGACAATGGAGCCTGCATATCTTCATTAAGATATACATAGTCTGCTTTTTATGCCTTTAAGAATGATCCACGTCTATTGAACTGAAAAGGAAAAAAAAACTTTCAGAATATATGTTAACAAATATTCTTACTTTTATTTGGCTTAGCAGCACTGTAAGAAGTCTGATCGATTCCACCCTTCTCTGAGCTAGAAGGTATTTTCTCTCCTCCCATTCAGGCATGTCTTCTGACCACAGTTCTTCTCCAGCTGTTACTTTCAGATGCTTTCTGGGGCGTTTCTCATCCCGATCTATCTGCCTTTTTTCTCGTCTCTTGATCTTAGACTTCCTTTTTCCTTCTCCAACTTTTTTGTCATCATCATCTCGTCTTTTTCTAGGCAGTTAGCAATAATGGAACCATTTAGATGAATATGTGTGTGTGTGTGTGTGTGTGTGTATGAGAGAGAGAGAGATGCTGTTAAAGTAGAAAGAACCCAATTGTGAAACCTAATTGCTACTACATACAAAATGAAACACCTCTCAGAAATGTGTTCTTTGAGCATAACACCTAGTGGATTTCCAAGGTGATACAAAATAAGCTGGGGATATTTGAGCTCCTCTCTAGAAAGATCTTATACTCCTTCAGTACTCAGATATTACATCAGGAGTCATACATTATGGCCATGCTGACGCTCCCAGTTCAATGCAGGCTAAGCTTCCTTATTTTTCAATGGAATCTGAATATACATTCTATAGGGGATGCAACCTGTTCCCTTTTTTTAAGTCAGTATACATATGGTCCTCTCTCCCAGCCAGAATTAGAGGTCAAACGGCTCCCTCTTTCCTTCAGTTATATTAACTATGTCTAACCTGTTTTGTCTCCAGTACGACTGCCTCGCCCAGAGAACTGCAGTTCTAAGCACAACTAGCTTTCTAAGCAGGTGAACCGTTTAAAGCAGAAATTGGAAACTCGATGCACTCCATCTGCTTTGTCTTCCAACTCCCATAAATCCTGGCTGGCATGAACAACAATCGAAGAATCTAGGTGATGCAGTCAAAAACATCTACAGTAGAGGATATCAGGTTGCTTATCATGTTTTTAGGGGAAGAGCTGAGTAGAAATAAAGGCAGGACTTGACCCGGGCCCATCAGGGCAGGAATTCTAATCAGCTTGTTGAAGAATAGACATCTATCATCACAAATTTAACAGCAATTTTTTTAAAAAGAGCTCTGTATATTCAAGAGAGCGCTGGCTGCATCTGTGTATGATTCATAGGTCTGTTACCTCTTCTAAGCAGCCATTGCAGATGCTCGTTTCACATACACAGCATGAAGGAGATCAGGTTATCCTGTCACTCCCAGCACCTTCTATCAGAAGAGACCATCTGTGGTTTCCATTGCTATTCTGAGCCTCCCTTGCTTTCTTGTAATCAAGTGATACAACAGACCAGCAATATATTTATTTAGGATAGAAACATCATACCTAGGTCTCAGGTGTTTTTCTTCTTTTTGACTCAACCTGTGTAGGCTTTCTTCAGAATCATAATTCTATATAAACCCCAGCTTGAAATTACATTTTACTGTTGGCTTACGATGTCAACGGTGCTTTGTAAGAAGCACAAACAAGGATACAGAGTTGGTTTGTGATCCTGTGGATTATTCTTAATCTGTTGTGTGTTTCTGGTGAGAATTTTTTTGCCCATCCAGATTTTATCATTTGAACATCATCACTCAAATCATTCCCACTTTGTTAACATTTTGTCTGTAAAGACGTCAGGAGAGGTTGAAAGTTTGCACAAAACTGTATGCATTTTGAAGCTGGGCCTAATAAAACCTAAGTCTGTAGATGTTTGGATTTTTCTTACAGATCAGTGTGGATTTCTTTGTTTTATGCATATGTTGTTTTACAGGTATCTAACTGAAAAGTACACTTTGTGTGTAACAAGAGCAAAGTGGGCCTCCAAATTTAATTGAGAGAAAACATTTCAAAGTTTCAGATGTCTAGAAAACACTTCAGTACTTTGTAAGGATTCTGTAACAATATGAACCTTCCTGAGGCTATAACACTTTTTTCAGCTTGGGAGGCACTGTTTAAATCTGTTATAATTCTGTAGAAAGCTATCATGCTAAGCAATCACAGAGTCTCATGTAGCCGCTAGGAATAAAAGGTCTGCACTTCATTTACAATTACTGAACAGTTTGAAGGATGGGAAAATAAAACCCTGTAAGCACTGCATTTGTCGAGAGAGTCACAAATCTATTTTGGTCTATAACATAACAACTTTTGTTCCAAGCCCAATGGAATGGGTGGAACCCTCCCTGCAGAATTAAAAAAACCCATCGGTGCTCAGGTGTATTTCTGCACTGAAGAACCCTTTGGGAGAGGCAAAGAAGGCTGGGAAAACAAGCAGTACTATAAACTTACAACTGGATGCAGCAGCCAACCCTGGATCTTGAATTGCATTGTGATCTTTTCCAGAAAATTAATTTTATTTCAGGCTAGACATATTTCTGCCTTAAGAGAATGGCAGCAACTGAGAAACAAAGCAAACTGCAAGTGAAGCCATCAGCAATTATACCTGTAATATTTGTTTGCAACCTATTTGTAAATCAACTATCAATTATTACTGACTTTGGAACCTATTTTCCAGACATAAACCAGTGGTCCATGTACTCAACATAGCCATATTGAATGGGAGTAGTGGGCCAGGTTTGGAGGCAGAAGGATTTTTTTTCAGCTGAATCCAGCTGAATTTATCTTTGTCTTGACTAAGGTACATTGGGTTGTCATGCTTGCAGGACTTCATGTGAAGTTAAGAGTAAAAAATTTAATGCAGTGGGTACAAGAAAGCACCCTCGCTCAACTTTATTAATTGTTGTACGCTGCCCAGAGTCGCTTTGGGTGACATGAGAGGCTATATAAATGTGATATATACATAAATAAATAAATAAAAACTTTCCTATATTAAGAAGTGAGAGTACTAACCCTCAGAATATATGTGCGATTGGTTGGAAGACATTTGCTGAAATCTCAGAAGGCAAATAAGTATCTGAATAAGATTTCCAGAAATTAGGGGCCTGTTTTTAGTGACCTGATGGAATTTATTAACTGTCTCTTTTCTAGCCAACCCAAAATAAATTACTGTATGCAAAAGTAGGACAACATATGCGTATGTTTTCAATCTAAATATACTTTGACAGATCACAAAATTCCAGTGTTCTTGGTGCACAGTTTGAAATGCATGGACCCAAAATGTTATTTGGCCTTTTTTAACTTGTTACTTGCTTGTTTCAGTAAGAGTCCACACCGCAGTGCATATACTTCTTTCCCCTTCTGATAAAGAATAACATTAATGATTTAAATTAATAATTAAAATTAATGATTTAAGTTCCTCACCTTTCAGTCCCTTTTCTCCCTCTGTTTTCCTCTCTCTTTCTTTCTCGCTCTAGACCTTGCAGAGTTAATCTTTCTAGGGTTCTCTGTTTTATAGCATTCTCACTGAAATGACTAGTGGTGTCAGATGTCACCTGTTTCAAAACAGCAACAACAAAGCGCATTGCTAATTCAAATAGACTACTACTATTTCTTTGATTTATATTCTGCCTTTCCGTCCCAATAATTTTTTTTAAAGAATTGGTTATTACTCATAGGCAAAAGAGTTACACTCTAGAATGAAATATGGAAAACATACGGGCGAGACTGGCCATTATAAAGTAAATTCAAGGCAGCAGCAGAATCGATTTCAATAACCATCCAAACACGTAATGGATAGCTGCTGATACTCTTCATAAGAAAAGTCAATTGCATGTGAAAAAGGTAAAGCATGTGAAAGCATGAGAGAAACCTGATGTCATTGGAAAGACTGATTTATTGGGGCACAGAGTTTTATGAATAAGAGCACCGCATTGGATAGGAAATGGAGCTCTTAAGCAGGCTCTGGTCTACAAAGGTTTATGCCAGAATAAATCAATCAATATTTCCGGCCCGTGAGGCTTGGGTTTCATTTTGCGACAGTGGCTTACAGAGCGTCCCCCTGAGAGCAATGGGCCTTACCTTGATGTTACACGCAAGAGCTTTTCCATCGTCCCCCTTAAACATCAGCTTCATGCCCTTGAGCGTCTCCATGGCTCTTGCAAATGACTTGGACTCTTCATACTGGACGAAAGCTTCAAATGTCCGCAGACCACGAAAAATGAAGTTATTCGTGCTTCCTCCCACCATTTCTTCCCTGTATGGATCGAGCATGGGGATATCTACGTTCTTGATCTTCCCAAAGCTTCCAAACACTGCTCTCAAGACGTCTTCGCTGGGGGTCTCGCTATCTGAACCTCTGAGGGCAAACCACTTGCAGGGCAGCCCTTCCAAGTGGAGGCAGTCAGCAACGGCCTCCTTCAGCTGTTCCTCTGGCAGTTTTCGGCTTTTCGCACCGGACTCCGACTCCTGAGAAGGTGGGCAGTCGGGAGGGGCTTCAGTAGCAACAACTTGCAAGTCATCTTTAAAACCATTCAGCTTTATCATCTTGCCGTGGAGTTTCTCCTTCAGGCTGCAGACTAAACGCTTGGTTTCAGCCTCTCCTTCAAAACGAATGAAGCCCTTGGTGCTCTTTGAAACCTTCACACTGGTGAACTGGTCTGGGCAGATCATGTTCTTCAGCTTGTCCATCACCTCCCACTTAGAGAATGCCCGGGTAGATCCAGTGTGTTCTGGAAGCACCACACTGATGGTCAGTTTCGCAACGGGCTTAAGGTAAAGCTGCTGAGATGCACAGAGCTCCATCGCTTCTGAGGGATCACACACGAGGGTGACTGTCATGGTGTCCAAATATCCTTCAGAAAAACAATTAAAAGGCAAATTATGTGCACCAAACAGCACATCCTCACTTCTAGTGAAAGTGGCATTAGGCCTATCTACTCTTCAGACAATCTCCCATCAGGTTGGACCAATGTTGTTTGATGAATTATAAATACTCTTACATCTGAAAGAGTTTGTTCTGATAGCCTGGCTGGTTTTATAAATGGTTATTCAGATGATTTCATTACAATGGGATTGAGTCCAATTTAAATTTGCATCCTTGTTTATTGCTATAGCACAGTACCTGTTTATTTAAAACTAAATGCAGTCACATTGCTTTTACTGTACTATAACAAGCACAACCAATAGGATCTTTAAGTGAATTGGATAAGAGAAGGAGCTAAAATTATAAATCTAAACCTTCAGCAAAAAGGTGTCTATAAGAAACAAAAACAAGATTAATCTGAATTGTTGTTCAAGAACAGACAGATGATTTAAAATATCAAAAAATGCCAACCAAGAACTGATCTGAAAGACACTAAGCAGTAGAATAAAATAAAACATACATCTTAAGACAGAATACTTAGAAGTTCCACCTACTTCAACTGATTTCACTCTTAATAAAGGAGAATTAGGATTGCTTAGGATTGTTACCATTAAGACTTTTTAAAAAAAACCCTGCACAATTTAATAATTCTAACAAGGGCACATGGAAGAAAAGCCTCTGTAAATTACTTACTAGATACAAAGGAACAAGTAAATTGCACAAATCAAACATCTACATTTTTAACAAACAGATTACTACTAGTTAAAGAGAGATGCTTAGCATTAATATCAAAAAGTCCATTTTATCTAATTTACAAATAGCACAACATTTGCATTTTCTGGATAAGTGTGATATAGCACAGAAATGCTTTTACAATTTTTCCACTACAATGTTACCATTCTGAGAAACATGAATATATTGTTCAGTTTTTGACAAATTCAAATGCTAAATATGTCTGGGTTCAGAATGCCTGTTATTCTATCTTTAGTTTAACCAGCCTAGCACAATCTATTCTGCCAAGTCCATGCAATAATTAAACCGTTACAAACCTTGAGTACCCTTTGAGAAGCAATTAATAGGTGGTGGAAATTCCAGTTACTTTTTTGATCTTGACAATTTTTGGCCCTTTGGAATACATGTTTCTTTTCTCTGCCAGTCTTCCAATTTTGTCTTCAGGCTCTGCATTATAAATGTTAGTATTTTGGTTTGTATACTTAGAACTCTCTACCCAATGTTAAATTTATTAACACACTTCTTTGTTCTCAAGTCAAAGGAGAATAACACAGTTCTCCACATGATCTTTCCATTGCATGAATGTGCAGAGGAAGGTTACCAGCAAATTCTACTAAGCTCTCTTCTGAGATTTTAGACCCAAATTGCAGAACTCAAGGGAGACTGAAGTAAGTAATCAAATACACCCAGAGGCAAAAGCATCACCTGTGCCCATCCTTTACAAAACACCTCAGTCACAGATGTACCTCCACAAAATGTGCTGCTGATTGAGAACAACAGACCATCTTTCTTTTCAATAAACACCCTCTTAAAATAAATATACCCACAAATACGCAGACAGCAATATATATCTTCCTGCAATGTAAAGGGAAGTATATAAACGTCTTCAGTAAGTAAAACCATCCCATTTTGAAAAGTTTAGCCAAACAGGTCTGCAACTACGGTATTCAACCAACTTCTGGAAAAAGGGGGCTCTAGTAGAATAATTGAAAACACTTAACCTAATCTGAGTTTATCTCTGTGTTAGTTCCAATGGGTAAACATGGCTTAAGACTTTGAAACTAGGATTCTTCATAGCAATAGAAATGTTAGGAAGCAAACCAAATGGAACATTTCTTTCTACTTCAATGGCCTTTGCTCCTCATAGCTGAATTCGTGGGAAGGAGGAGCAAGATAAGATGGTGGAAGCTAAAGACAAATTGTTCCATAATGGTCTTGCTGAAGCCCCATTTGCAGTACAGCGTGAGGCAATTTTCTTTTTGTTTCTGGCAGAAGACGGGGTTTTCTGCAGAATGGCTAGAATTACACTTTGCCTTGTTTTCTGCTACTTGCTGAAGTTGTTTCTAGGCCACAGTTCCTTTTTTGTGTGAAATTTATATCATACTGAGCCCAAAACTAAACACAGAATGACCACATCATCATCCAGGTCACAGTTCCTGATTTGTATATAGCTTTTCTATTCTTAATTTTAGGAACGGCATGAATCTACAGTATTTTCTTTAGTGCCTGAGATCTCTTTCAAAGCTGTGTTTGCACAAGATGCTACTCCATGGTTCAGTTGATTAAATGAGCCATGGGTCAGTTGATAAATCAAGCTGCCTGGGTTCACATAATAGCCTGAATCCCAAACGAGCTGACGAGATTTTCATCTGCAATGTTGTCTCAACCCAGACAAACGTTTAAGTGGGGGGAAAAGGAACTGGGAAACAAACCAACCTCAGCATCTTTTTATTTGCTTCAATTTCTGGTCCCTTCCTCCACGGGTCGTGTGAAATGGGAGCCCATAACCTTGTCCTTGCTAAACTCTCTGTTCTTGACTGGCTAGAAATGCAGAAAGCTCAGCAGGTTAGAACAATTTAGAGCATGAAATTGCTCATCCTCACACTCCAGGGCCTGGGATGCCTTCTTCGCGCAACCCACTCAAATGGGCTATAATGCCAACCCCACTGTGGCAGCTGAACCCATGCCACAGGGCCCGCCTCTGCTTTCGCTGGCAGCTCCCTCACCGTCCCATCTCTGGGGCTCCCCAACACGCTGTTCAAATCAAATCAAATCAAATCAGATCAGATCAAACCAAACCAAATCTTTATTACGGTCATAGACAGCAGGCCAAAGCAATGCTACAAATGCCCCCACGACCCATCTTCCCACCAGCTCCCTCTCCCACAGTCCTGCTTTTTGCAACGAGCCCCCAACTTCCCTCCATAAGGTGGGACTCCAACATCCATCCTCACGCTGGCTGGGGAGAATGGGAGGTTAGCGCCATTTCCCCTCTTCTACTCCGGCCCCATCCAGGCGTTTTGGACCACAGCTCCCAGGGCTCAGGCAAATGGGAGTTGTAGTTCCAGACACTGCTAGAGGCACTGAACCCATGGGAGAAGGGAAGATGGGAGTTGGCATGGCAACCACTCTCCAAATGTTGTCCCACCACTCCCGCTGCTCAGGCAGATGGGAGCTGGAGTCCCAGACAATCCCAGAGGTCCTCGACTCACCCCAGTGCCTACAGGAGGCAGGCAGATGGGAACTGGAGTACTCCCAAACGTACAGCACCTACAGGAGCTGGGCAAATGGGAGCTGGAGTCCCAGACGAGGCGGGCAGATGGGAGCTGGAGTCCCACCCCCTGAG